TTTCCCCGGCAGTGACTACAGAAGAGCACAGCAGAACCGATGTGATGAACCAGTGCCCACTGACACACAGAAGGCCAACTAAAATGCCTGCACTCTGCTTCCCAGTTTTGCAAAAGCAAGAGAGGAAATGTAGGTGGGTTAGAAAACCTCAAAGGCGACATGAAGCAAAGAAACTGTTAACCACAAGCAGTTCTATCTCCAGTGAGTGCATGTCAGTTCCCAACCGCAGGCTGGAGTCAGTACACGCAAAAAGTTACACACTATAATACCTGGAGTCTGCAGGCATCATCTACACCAAGCCCCCGTCTAACCATAATAACTTGGGGAAGTCAGGGCAGACCTTGCAAGGAGCTGGACTATGTTTCAAAAAAGCCTTTTTGTACAGAAATTCAGTTTTCAGCAGTGGGGCAGCGGGGGTAGAGTACAACGGTGTTCTTGAACCAATGATGCGCTCAAACTCCATTTCTCTTCTCCCATTTCCACTTTTCCAGAGGCTGGCTTTGGCTCTTGGAGTGGTGACACATGAATCCTGGACTGAAAGGAGACTAAGCCATACTGAACAAGTTTGTATGGAAGGATCACCTAAAACAACAATTTAGCTGAAATATTAAAGCCTGTTAAGTGCTTTGAGTTGACCTGCTCCTTACCTGTTCAAATGTGGCCTTCGAAGAACTGTTGCATTTCACTGTAGTGGCAGCTAACGCGATGCTGACTTTGCAACATGCTTTAGCATGTTGAAGTTTCTCTAAAAATAACATTATTAGAGAAATTTAATTAGTTTAATTCAGTGCTGAAAAGAATCCTAAAACCTGCCCTTGGAACAGATTCCTTTATTAAAAATAAGAGAGCCCCACACAGTCATGGTATAATCCATTTATTAGCATACCTTGTGAGCCATTGGTGTTGATCCAAGGGACATGACAGTTTTGGCACTTGACTGATTTCAGAGTTACTCAGCCCCTGGTCAGTAGAAAGGTATTTTAATAGGACTGAGTGGGCTATTACACAAATTAGTTTTTCTTCTTGATGTGGAAAATTAAATATTTTCCCAAACAAGTAAAAACACAGCCCAGGAGACATGCACTGGTCCAGGTCACAGTGCCTCATTCTGCAAGGAGCAGTTGGTTACCACCAGAGGTGATTCTGGTCCCTCCATCTGCAAGGAACTCTCAGCAAGTCTATAGGGATAGTGTTAAATACCACAGTGCAGTTCATCTCTCAAAAGTTTTCATCTGATTGCTGAATATACACATAAAAAAATCTGTCTTCAAGTGCTTGACGAATCACTGCAGCTCTTTTGGGGTGAAGAAATTTCAGGATATTGGCTTCAGAAAAAACAGGAAGACACACAAAAGGCAGACCTACCTCTCTTAACCCTGAGACAGCCCATATCCACATTCCTGTTTCCTCACCAATGCCTCCACTGATGCCTTTGAAAAACTGATCTGTTATTCTCTGCTATAAGTGTACATGGATTACAAGGGTAATCAACGTCTTGTCCAGGTTAATAACAGCTGCCTGATTAATTACAGATAGAACATAATTAATAGAAATCATCAGAACAGTGTTCAGCCACAGGAAAGGGATAAATCTTTAATCCAGCTTCAGCTGGCCAAAGCATGGATGGTCATCAGTGCAAGCATTGCAGGTCAGGAAGACATCAGAACTGGGTTAGCCTTTGGAGCACTGGGGTTTTCCCTCCAAGAGGGATACCTGGTGCACTGATAGCTGCTCCTTAGGCCCTTACCACAACCACATTTCTCCTCCTGCCAATGCTCCTAGCCAGTCATAGTGATGTTCCCTTTCTCACATCTGTCTCACAGCATCCACGTGGCACAGTGTAGCCACCAGCAACACTGACTGATCCCTCGGCTCCTGGAAATAGCGTATCTGCATTAGCCTTATCCAACAGAGTGATGCTGTAAAGGTGGACTGTACCAGCCCTACAGTGTCAGCCAAGGCAAAGCTCTGCAGGTGCTCCCTGCCCAGAGGTCCCCAGACATACCTACAGCAACTGCTGTGAGCTCAGTGCAACTGCTGCACCTGCCTGAGACACGGGGAGAACCAACCCCACTGGGTTTTCATCCTCTTGTAGCAAGGCTGCCACCAAGACCATGCTAGCAAGTTTAGGGCTGGCTCCAGACATACAGCACTGAAACCACTTACAGCATTGCCTGCTATAGAAAATCACACTCAAATAATCAGCAGGTGACACAGTCTCCCCTGGCAAACTGCATTCAGTTCTGGTTACCAAAGTTTAAAGATCCAGCAGAAAGATAGTTCAGCATGTTATGAGACACCTAGACAGTTTGGGTTGAAGAGAGATGAGGACACCACAGTCTGAGAAAAAGAACTACCTCTAGAGTAATGAACAACAGAGAGTATAAAACCAGGCTCCTTAGTTTGTCTCATGGCTGAGAACACAACGACAAATGGGACTCAATAAAAACAAAAGGCAATTAATTCAGGAACCATAAAAAGAAATGTGCTATGGAGAATAAAATTGCATTGGTTTTCATTGCCAGAAAATACTGAAAGCTTAGTTGGATTAAATACAAAATTAAAAATTTAAACATTCATATAGAAGATGAAGGCTGGTTACATTAAACAGTTTTTTAAAAGTTAGGGATGTAAACTCTTATACTTAGGAAAAAAAAGGAAATACAAAAGGATAGTTCATAGTGTTTTAAGCACACCTAGAGGACCAAGTACTTGTACTTCTATTTTTAATAATAATAATAATAATAATAATGCAAGTAATTAATTTAAATGGGTCAAGAACAAAATTCCCCAAAAGGAAAGGTTGTTAAAACTTGTTCAGTCCAAACTCACATGTACTATCTTTTGGAACATCTGTTGCCGGCCAACATTACAAAATAAAATCCTGTGGTGGCCAAGTGCTGCTCATGCAGCCAGGCAGTTCCAGTAAGCCACAGTGGCACAGCACAGAAGTTTAGTTTGGACCACAGTCCCAGGTTAAACAGCAAAGAGCAATAGTGGTGCTCTGAAACAGGTCAGGACAATGGAGGAGAGTATTGGCAGGCTCATCTACAGCATCAGTAGGGTCTAAAAGCAGTGGAAAGACTGGATACTTCCTTCTCTCCTCCTGGCTCATGCAGGACTCAGGGTATATTAATTACAAGGATTCTCAAAGCTTTCATGGTGACAAGATCTAGAAGAAAGAAATATTTTGAACTAGAACATGGGAATTTCGGAAGACAATGCAAGGCCTGTGTCTCACTTGTGTTACACGGTAATTTATTGTAACTCCTGAATGGCCATCTGCTAAGTAGGTTTAGGGAAATAACCTCACAGTTTCAGTCCTTTGGGTGTTTCTATGCCTGTTGGGGTCATGGGTATAAACTGAAAGATCAAACCAAGTTAAACTAGAGATGTGACAGCACCCAATGCACAGAAACTCCTGAGCTACTGTAGCATGCTGGCTCAGGGGAGGCTGAAGGCAGAAGCCAAATCCCTCCATGTTTCCCAGACAGGTACTGTTGCTGCCAGTGAGGAACTTGGCATTTCATCCCCTACAAGACCAGAGGGCCGTGACATAATTGCCCTCAGTCCTCCTGCCATTTTAATTCCTGGGAGATAAGGAGCAGTCTGCAGGTTGCATCTTAGAGACTCTCTGCCGGCAGCCATAGCACAACACAGCCAGCATGGAGCCAGCACAGCGCTGCCAAGGGATCAAGCCTGGCACTTCAGACAGGGTTACCAGCACAAGCTGCACTGAGGACAATCTGCACCTCAAGAAAGGGCACAAACAGATCAGGTTTGTCTCCAAGGCCAGTTTGCAGGGGTTCTGACATTGCGTGTTTTAAAGATTTCTACAATTCTTTGTTAAAATAAAATTTCTGAGCAGGATCTTTAAACAGTCCAGTTGGTAACCCTAACTTTTCTATAACCTCTGGAGAAGGTAAATGGAACTGTTTAGTTTAGTATTCACACAAAAAAATCAGCCACCTAGCCAGGTCAGCTATTTTACAGAAGACAAAGCTTTAGGCAATCACTACTTATTGAATCCAAGGTGATTTCTAGAACTCTGTCACCACGTGCCCTGTAACACAACATCACTAATCCACAGGCTGTGCTCTGCCCTCTGTTCTTGCCTTTGTAATGGCTAGATACTGAACACCTCAGTGCCTTGAGTGCAGACCTTCCAGGCAGCAGGTCAGTGCCAGACACAGTCACTGCTTACCCTACAATGCATGAGCAAACCCAAAACATGCACATCTGGCACAAGTTCCACGTGTCCCATCTTGTATTATTACTCCACGTTCGGGTCATTCGTTACACATCAAAGCTTTCTGCTCCTGAGCAGACCTGTCTTCTCTCTGGCTTATTTATACACAGTGAGAAGACAGTGCACTGCACAGCTGTTAATGCACTTAGCCCTTCTGTCTAGTTTTGTATTTTTTTACCTACTCAAGAATAATAAATTAACTTTAAAAATTGCTTAAGGCATAAGAGGGAACTCTGTTCATTTGTTTGGATGAGATGGAAAGAAGAAATTGAAGTATTCAATAATCCCTGCTTTCTCTCAGCGTTATTTCTGTTCAGGCTGAGAACTACAGCTTGATGGCAGTGCTTGCATACCCTCGAGTTAAGCCAGTTTACTCCCACTGAGAGGAATGAAAAGAGAAATAGTACAAAGAAGAGAAAAAAAGAAAGAATAGCCCAGAGGTTTCAAGAATAAGACACACTTCAGGAAAGCAGGAAGCTGCTTTGCAGCACATATACTGTTTTGCACAAGGAGCGAGTAATTTGCCTGAGGTGTATCTGTATCCCAGGAGTAATTCCATGTTTCATGGGAGAACTGTGAACACAGAGATATTAAAGACTAACAGCACAAGTAAAGGGCAGCTAATAACCATGGTGAATAAGCTATCAAGAGGAAGTCCCCACAGTGCTGTTAAATCATGATTCAACACCTGAATGTTTGAGATTAACATTACATTTGGATTTAAAGAAAAATAACATGTCTATTCAGTCACTTGAGGTCATATTTTTAAGTTCTTCACAGTAATCATAAGGGCAAGAAAGCTACTGTCTCTTAAAAATGAAGATTTACTCCCACACCAACAACTAGGAGATGCTACTTTAAGGAAGCAAGAAAACAAACACACACAAAGAACCACTATAGTGAGAAAGCAGCAATAAAACCAAAGCATCTGGCACCTAGAAATGTGTGACAGAAGATTACAGCAGAAAGGACAAGTATCTCTTAGCAGGGGTAGACACTTGAAAGGGATCATATGGAAGCAGACGTATTATTCAGAAGAGAAAAGGTTCCCCCTAGAGACATAACAGGGAAGAAAAAAAGCCCAGCTCAGCTCAAATCTTCTGATTCCTGGAACTGAAGAGAGCTGTTTTGAAAAAATATCTGAAGATTTCCATTATGCCAGCACCTGGTGCCATCTTCCAAGCATCTCACCTCTCCTGGCAGCATTTTTCAGTTGTCCAAACATACAAATAGAAATTGATTTTCAGCAGCAGGTATCTCTCTGCTTCTACCATTTCTGTGTGCCAGGGCAAAGGAACAAGTGTGACTGCATTACAGGACTCAGATACTTAGGGCAACATATACTTATCATTGTTACGAGTGTGCACCTGCTTTCTCTGCTTACAGATTACAGACTAAAGTGAAATCAAAGACTTTAAAGCATCAGTCATAACTGTTTTTCTTCCAGTTCTACATTAAAGTCCTTTGCCAGTGTCTGATGACAGAATAAATCTCCTTCAGTCACAGACCAGAAGCTGCAGCCTTCTGCTGCTGCAGGGCAAAAGGACCATATGCTGAAGTTCCTAGAGCCCAGTCACTTTCATTTTAGCTTGGTGACTCTCTTGATCCAGGGTACGAATTTGCTGACCTTTGTGTACACACCGGGTGAATCCTTCCGACCACAGCCATACCCCCAAGAAGTGATGCCCAAAATGATCCAGCGCCCATTCGACCTTTGACACATGAGTGGCCCTCCACTGTCCCCTTGACAGCTGTCCACCCGTTTATCTTCAGAGAGGTTCCCGGCACAAATCATGCGGTTAGTGAACTTCTGCCCGTAGCGGACCTCACAGTCTTCCCGGGGGAGAAGAGGCACCACCCCCTGCAGCAGGGTTCTTGAATAGGACTTCCCTGGAACAGAACAGACCAGCCAGGCTGATTCATGTGCAGACTACAGCAGCGACCTGGAGTAACGGTGCTCCCAACAGAAACAGACACTTGCACACTTCACGTCAAGTCTGCAGCACAGAAATAGGCTGAGCTCAGCATCTCTGAACCACCAGAACTACAGAAAACAGTGATGCCAAGCCAGACCACAAAAAAAGATCTTTAAGATCAAAGGTATGGGGAAGAGGTTTGGAGAAAAAGGTTAGATCAAAGGATGAGTCTTACTCCTGGTTCTGCCAACAAGTAACTTGAACCTTATTCAATTTATTTCACCTCTCAGAACCTCCACTTCCTCCTCAGTAAAACGAGGACAGTGTTTTCTCAAGTGAATAAATGCAGTAATAACTGTTAAGTGCTCAATCCTCAGAGAAGTTTTAGAAGATGTTTCAGAGCCATTCAAATATTATTCAAAGGGAGCTCACTTCATCTTTGACCAGATTTTGTCTCTATTTGATCAAATCTCTTTATTACCCCAAGGTTGCTCAGAACATAAGGCTCATGTGCTATATTAGAGCATGACCTTTCTGTGCTCAGGGTTTACGTAAGTTCACAAGGTAGTAGGTAACTGCTCCTCTTGCTTGGAAGGCTGGGTGTTGTGCGTGGGAGGGATTCTAGCCACTAAGCCCCAGCACAGCTTAAGTTAGTTACATGGCTAAGTTGCTCCTTGATCCTTGCCAGACATCCCGAAGTGACATGTGCAACTGGCACAATTGACTCCAAAGGTAAATGTGTACTTGCAGTTAAACAGTTGGGGTAATAGCTAGAGAAAAAGCTGGTAAGGATGGCCAAGTCCAAAATCGAGAGACCAGATCCTGGGGCTTTTGACAGCAAGTCTTGATAAACGTATTGCTTTGCTCCAGTCACAGCAGCCCCAGAAAGGCCTCCCAGCTCTCTTTTACCTAGGAAGCTTCATAGCAATGTGCTCAGCAGACAGGTACAAGCTGTTTTGAATCCAGTGCAGAAACCAGCCTCAGAGCTCATCTGTCCCTGCAGCAATATTGAGGGAGATTGAGTCTGAGAGAGATTCCTCACACCTCACTTCCAAGCCCCCACTTCACTACTACAGTATCACAAAGAAGGCAGGAGATGACAGAAACAGAAGGGCTTCCCACAGGCTTGGTATAGCAGCTCTGCACAGGCTGCTCCCTAAGGGGTCTGCTGTAGACAAAAACATGTGCAGAAATGAGAAGAAAAAGAGGACTGTGGCCAGATGGCAGCATTGGTCTCTGCCACAGCTTCAGAGCGATGCTATGGAAACCAAAGCTTCCACCATGAGCAGACTCAAGAAGCCTCAAAATCAGAAGAAGACACAATGGCACAAAAACCACCTCACCTCCTAACTCCTAAACAGCACGCTCTGGCACAGACAATGGAAGCAGTGAGAACACAGCCTTGAGCTGACATAAATTAATGATTAATGGCCCATATAAGCTTCTGAACCCAGACTCCTCCCCCTTTCTTGCCCCTCAAAGCACCACCACTCACCTGTGTCTCCCCAGCCGGAGATGATGCAGGCTTGCCTGTTGATGTCAGACCTCTCTTTCCTGTCGGGCAGGCAGACGGGCAGAACATGGCGATTGAAGGAGAGACAGTGCCCCTCTCTGCCTCGCACCCGGACCAGGGCTATGTCATTGTCATTGCTGCCAGCCCAGTAGTTCCTGTGCAGGACAATCCGCTCCACAGGCAGCTCCCTCTCAAACTCATCCTTCACACCTGTGTGGTAATCGCCCACCCGCAGCAGGTAGCGCCGCACATCAACACCAAACCTGGAGGAAAAGAGACTCAGGATCTCCTGCTAAAATGGAAGCAGACTCATACAAGTCTCAGTTGCTATGAGACTGAACCACCTCCTCACACCACACTGATTAATCAGTGCCAGCTGCAGGACTGTGGGACCTCTTTAGCAGATCTGATCATGCCAGCTGTTGCAGTCAATGGGTGTCCCAAATCTACCAGGTACAGAACTTTTTTTCCTATCAAGATGGCTATAATAGTTACAACAGGCTTGTGAACTGATCTTTCACAGTTCTTTAAAGCACTTAAGAATGGCAAAATGCTGGTTCCCTTTAAGTTGTGAAGCCTCAAAGCTAAAAGGCCAGGTGTAAGCAGCAAAGGATGAAGCAAGTCAATGTTGAGTCATCCCCATAAGTACTCCAAAATCACACCTGAAGGTCTTGGTTTAGAAACTCTGCTAATGTAGTTCCACTGGGCTGGGAGGATAACCTCATCTGAGGTTATCTTGTTCATCACTGAGTGTCCCTTGGGGCTCCCCACTCCCAAACACACCTCTTGAAGCAGTGGGCTGCAGTCACCACCCAGCAGCTGCTGATGAGTGTTGCTCCACACAGCAGACGAGTATCTCGCCGAAAACCCTTCAGCCGTAGTGAGGCCTGCCATGGCCAACTGCCTCTGAAGAAGAAACAGAGAAATAACAGATGTCACACACATGGGAGCCGTTTTCCTTTCTTCCCATCCACCGCCCCATCTGGGCTCAGCTGGTGTGCATTCTTCCCTAGATAAGCCCACTGGTTCAAATCAAGTTCAAAAATCACCAGTGAAAATGCATTAATGTACTCGACATTTGCCAGGCTATTTCCAGAGCCTGATAGAAAGCCAGAATCAGTCTGGCTCTCCCAACAATTACAGGGTAGTACCTGAGAGACTTGTTTCCACCTATGATCCTTTTCTTGCGACGGTGGAGAAGGCGCATCCCACACACACCAGACTCTGGACCTGCACAGCGAAGTTAGAGCAGTTGTGTAGGGACTTTCAGCTTAAGTATCAGCATTGCTGTCACAGAGCCAAATACCTTTCACCTTCCCTGACAGCATTAATCCTCAAGGTAATCGACTGCACTGTGTTGTGCATATGGAATTCATAGAAGATTTGGTCCTATAGGTTTCCTCAGTTTCAGAGGAGGTGCTTACCTGCAGTCTCTATAGTCAGGAATGTGACCTATACCTATGTATATATATATATATATATCCTCAGTACTCTAAACACCAAAGCTTGCTCGTGATTGCAGGGTTCTAAGGAAGGGTGGGGAAGTTCTGCAGGCTCAAAGGCCTGACATAGGTGGAACTCCTCAGACTAGTCTGGAGCACTCTGTGCTCCTAAGAAGAGACAATGAAAATAGGGGAAAAGTAGGAGATGCAGTTTCAGCCAAAGACAAGAACAACAGGGAAAAACCATAAAAACGTGCAGAGATCCTGCAACCAGAGCACCAGGTTCTTGCACAGAAGAAATGGGCATGTCACCTGTTCTTCTGATATCTTGGACCTTCTCTTCCACGTAGTCACAGATCACACCAGCATCCTCACTGTGCCAGCAGCTGTGAATCCTGGTGTCAGACCTGGCACACTGCCCCAGGGTGTGCTCCGTGCCACTGCATTCTACGTTGTCCAGATGGATGGGCCCATGGCCTTCACCAAAATAAGCCATTGCTCTGGCTTTTGCTGTACCACTGCAATTAAGAGAGAGGGTGGCTAATCTGCAGTAAGCAGGAGGCAAGTGAACCTGATGCACCAGTGCATTTTAAGAGGAATAATATTTATGTGTCACTGCACTCACAGACAGCAGTACAGTGAGAACAGGACCCTACTCCCTCAAGTATATGCCAAAACTAAGAAACTAAGCCTCGAGAACAAGTCCAGAAAGAAGTGCTCCCCCTGAGAGCTGTTTCTATCTGCAGGATGCATGTACCACAGCTCTTACCTGAATCCCAGTTGCCTGCAAACCACTGTGGCATCTCTGTCCGTCCAGTCATCATCACAGACACTGCCCCACTGCCCATTCAGTAACACCTCAACCCGTCCCTCCTTAGTGCTCTCTCCATCCACCAACCGTACAGGAGGCCCTGAAGGAAAAAACATGTGGGTTGCTGCAAGCAAAACCACCAGAAGTTTCAGGTGTCCAAAACTTGGGTTCTAGAGAAAAAGATGAATCCCAGACATCAGTAAGCTTAAAACAAAAAGATAAGGAAAAAAAAAAAAAAAGGAAAAATAATAAAGAAGTAAGTCTATATGAAGACATTTTACCTCTGCGCTGAATCAGAAGACTACATATATAATAATTTATTTAATACATACTGGAAATCATCAGAGGATCATATTCTGAAAGCTGAGTAAAGAGGAAAACAAGAACAGAAGGAAAGTTATTAACTCCTGAGCCAAGAGCAGACAAGCTTAAACATGCCTGGGAAAGAAATCTATTAAATTATAAAACTATTACAGTACTCTAAGCAAGAGAAGAGTTCTACATCCAGGAAAAACAAAAATGTTGGATTATTATTTCAATAACAAATGTCTGACAAACTGGAAAGTCTCCTGTAGTAAAGAAAAGGAGAGTATCAGGCATTATATAAACGAGGACATTATGCTAACTTGAAATACCCTCATAATTTGAATTAAAAGTGTGCCATCCACACAAGGAAGTGCAAATTTTTACAAAACAGCCCCTTGCATCTGAAGTCCTCTTGCCTTGGCAAGCTGTGACACTATTGTAACTACACCAGTTTCCTAAAGGGTCTACTTAAAGGGGTCCCTGCACACAAAGGCATCCACTGTCCCTCAGCCCCTCAGGTTTGTTTCATAGGCTGCCAACACAACTCTCTCCAGTTTCCATTTATCTGCTGGTCTGGCCGTAGGTCTGGTGGAGCCACAGCTTTGTGGCTCTGCCCCAAGACTGCCAGGGCTCATTCCTCCTCAAAAAGCAGACCCCTTGTTGAAATAGCACAGGGAAAATTCCCACATCAGCCAGAGCCTCCAAGGGAACAGAGACTTTCCCATCATCCAGGGCAAGAGCAAGGTGAGTTACCCAGACTGCCGTCCATGACTGTGTTGCTTTCTGGGGAACAGCGGACTCCCAGATCTTCGGCATGTGAGCAGTCATGCTGCCCCCAGTTGCTGTGGGGACATTCCAGGAGGGACAGCTCTGTCCCCACACACGCCACATCGTCCAGTAAGATAAAGCCTTGGCCAGCAGCGTAGTCCCCTTCAGAAGCCAGGGCAGCAGGACCACTAGAAGAAGGAAATAGAACATAACACAAGATTCATTAAAACTCTAAATGCCACAGAGGGACCCAAGCTCAGGCCCAAATGGAAACGCCCCTACAGAGCTTAACTGTGATATTGGAGTCTCCTGACCTGAACCCCTCAGTGACACACAGGATGGCAACCAAGCACCTTCACCTCTCACCAGCTTCAGTTTTCATGGAGGCCTGCTCAGACCAGCCCATTTTCTGGTGTCTGATCAAAGGCACATTCATAGTAGTACAGAGGGCCAGCAGAGGCTGTTTTGCAGATATGACAGCAGGTACATCAATCTGGGGAGGGGCTAGCAGAGCACACCTCAAAAATATAAATATTTAAGTAATTCTACTTCTTTTTATAGGAACCAGCTACCTGGAATTGAAATGCAGAAACCTGCAAACTTTTAAGAGATGACAAACACAGTATGCAGCTGAACCTTAATCATATTAAAAAATCCACAAACCCCCACTTGACTGGCTCTGAGACTACAGTATCCTGATACTAAATCTTCCCCAAACTCATACCTGAAAGGACAACAGTGAAGCAATGGGCTGAAAGAAAATCCCTATTACTACTCTTTTTTTGCCAAGATGATCTTTGTTCAGCTACTGAAGCAAGTGATACATTTAGCTGATGGAGCATATGCATGATATTGTTTCACTGACAGAGCAGAGGGGGTGGCAGCGCTGAGCTGATACACCTGTAAATTTAAGGAGTGTTAAAGAGAACTTTCTGACTTTGCTAAGGGGTACATTAGCAAGTATCAAGCCAGTTATCTGCTTTCAAAACAGGCTGAGGTGAGAGATAAAGATTTTTTTTTCCCTTGGAAAAGATGCAGATACTTATTGGTCTTTCCTGAATTAAGCTGTGTAATGGTAATAAACCTTCTAGCAAAGACAGCACTGAAGGACTGAGGTCCAGCCTATCCCAGTGAAGGGTGGTGGAATTTAATCCTTGAAATTAGGAAGCACAGACACTACACACACTCTCAGTCCTACCTGAAGCCCAGCTGCCTGCACACCACCTGGGCACCGAGGTCTGTCCAGCCATCATCACATACTGTGCCCCAGTCTCCATTGTAATAAACTTCTACCCTGCCTTCGCTGGGGCTGCGTCCACCAGCCAGCCGGACAGTGCCCTCTGTAAGGGGGAGAGAGGGAAAGGTCGGCACTCTGCAGGGGGGGAAAGAAACAGCCTCTGCACTTTTCCTAAGTCTGTACAGCTCATGAGCGAAAGAAACCAGAGACACAGATATCTGTGGGTACTCAAAAAAACAAATGTTCATTGTTCATAAACATGCCCATCTATCAGGGGAGGATTCACCTCAGCTTTTCCATACCAACTGAACAAAATAACGGGAACACCCCAAAGTCTGCCCCTGGTCCATTCCATGCTGCTGCTCTCTGCCTCCACATCTGGCAGCCCTTGTGGGACCATGCATAGAAGCTCTGCAGAACCCTGAACCAGGGGTTTACCTGCTGAGCCAGCCCCATAATATGGGGTACGACCAACCACATCTGCCTGGCAGAGCTGTAGATCTGTACCTGTGAAAGGGTCACAGGAGACCCCGGCGTCTTCAATGTGGTCACAGTTTTGCTGTCCCCAGTCACTCTTCTTGCACTGGTCAAGTGAGAGTTCATTGCCAGAGCACTGCACTTCATCCAGCAGGATTGGGCCAGATCCCTGACCATAGTGAGCCCATGACAAAGCTTTTGGGGTCCCACTGCAAACATTACAGACACATATGCTCAGTAAGGAAGGTCACAGTCTTGTGCCCTCAGATTCTACTTTGCACAGGGACTCTCCTGTGCTAGATCACTGTCCTCCCATAGACCATCCGTGTTTCTGACACAGTGGAGTTGCCATCTGTTAATCGAAATATGTTACTGGAAAGTCTGTAGCAAGCTCTTCCAACAAATAACAAAAATGTGCCTGCAGCATGAACAGTTCAGACACGTGGGGAGTTCTGAGGAAAATGACATAACATTAGTTGTTACAATCTCAGTAACAGGAGAAACTCCCAAAGTCTGAGAGGTCTCAAACTTGAATCATCTATTTTAAATCATCCTGTACTGATGTGGTTTTCAAGAATGCTCAGGATACAACAGCTCCCAAGCACAGAACGGCACGCAGAAGAATGAGGAGCTCTCTCTTGCTTTTCTGTTTGAAGAGGAAAAGTGCAGTCAGTGAAACTGGAGGTGTTTAAACTTAACCAAGTAAACAACTGCAGTCCACATATGAAAATTACCATGACAAGTTATCACTGAGGCCAACAAGATTTGCATTAGGGTATGTCTGCAAAAATAATGAACAGAGGTCAACAAAATAATCCCTAGACAGGGATCCACCGACTTTTTTTTCACAGTATAAATCCATAAAACTGACAGGAATGAAGTACAAAATCCCTTTATAGGATGATTACTCCAGGATTATCTTTCCCAGAGTTTCTCTATATCTCCAGTAGAAAGGGCTGGTCATATAATGAAGGGACATTTCTCATGTTCTTCATTCTGCTTACTTCTGTTGCTACTCCATGACATACAGCAGGGAAATTACCTGAGTCCCAGTTGTCTACAGACTACTTCAGCATCCCGGTCATCCCACTGGTCATCACAGATGGTGCCCCACTTGCCATCGTGGTAAACCTCCACTCGCCCTTCAAAGCTCTCCTTCCCCCCAACAATACGCAGTGGGGCACCTACACCTGTGCTGCAAGAAAGGGAAAGAGAGCACAACAGAACAAGACAGAGACAACACACATTCAGCAGTTCAGGGTGTAGAACCATTCACTGGTCAGAGGAGCTCTTGGGATGCTCTCTTACCACATCCACCCCCCCAGACCCCCCATTAGCTCCTGTGATTGCAGCCCACAGTATGGGGTACTGCTGGTCCAGGAACGGCTCTAACAGGCTGCTGTGGTGACTGGGAGTTTGCTGCCTGCAGACAAAACCTGGCTTGATAAAAAGGGGATGTGGTCATACACAACAGTCAGCTCTCGGTGACTGTAGACATGTCCCCATTCTGAGTATTTGGGATTGGAAAGGGATAGGTAATTTTCCACCGGAAGGTAGAAAACCACTACATAGCAGGTGAAAGAAGAACATTTTCCAATTATTTTCTCTCCACATCTTCATGACATTTTACATCTTATCAGCAACACTGATGGAAGAACCAGGAAGCAAACCCCCCCCCGGATATTTACCTTCTGGAGGAACACAAGTTACCATGGCACTCCCTTGCTTACAAGCTCCTGACACAGCTTCCCGATAGTCACACTGCAGCAGGGCTTTTTCATCCCCATGGCAGTTTGCTGACTGCAGGTGCAGGGGAACAGGCCACGGTCCAGGATGACTCTTCTTCCCAGCTGTGCCAATCTCACTGGTACAGAGAATGAAACAGAGCCATGAGATGTTGTAGCACAGCTTGACTTACAAATTCCCTCAGTGTTGTGACTCTCCAGTCTAGTTGTGGCATTTCACTTCCCAGTGTGCCCAGTTGATTCGAATGGCATAAAGGGGTGGCCACTTACAGTCTAACGGGAAAGCACAAACAAGCACAGAGCACTTCCCACCACCTAACCCTTTTGTGTGCCTACTTACTGCAGAGGAGTTGGTGTAGACAGAAATGGCACCCTCATCTGAGAGCAACAAACAAACCCATCAGCAGACTCAAACATCCAAATATCTGATTCACCTTCTTCCTTCTACGTGGACATTATCTCCTTGCTTTTTGGAAGTTCGAACGTCCAAATCCCAGATACCAAAGAGGGCTCATACTCTTAAAATTTCTATCAGATCACTACCTTAAGTCCAGGTGGTGATAGTAAAAAGGGGATGCAATCTCACAGCTCACTCATCAGAGTCTGGAGCATGAAGCAGAAAATATTGTTTTAAAAAATTCTTGCAAATGCTGATTGGTTTGAGCATAGGCACATAGAAAGAAAACAGTAGGAAAGGACCCTGGAAAGTGGAAAATTAGACCACAAAACAAACTCCTTTCTCCCAGCCAACACACTGTGCCACAAGCACTGTAACCACAGATGCTTTTCTTTCAAAAGCCACACGAGCGTGTAACTCTCACAACCAGACTGAGAGGTTCCCACCTGAGACCGAGTTGCCTGCAGAAAACACTGGCATCCCAGTCAGTCCAGTGGTCAGCACAGATGGTACCCCAGAGTCCATTGAAGTACAGCTCCACACTACCATCTTCAGCCAACCGCACAGCACCTTCCAAAAGAGATACAAAACCAAAAAACCCCAGCTGCTATCTGCTGATAGAAGTTTCAGACTAGCAAGTCTTGGACTTGCATGTAGTTGTGCTGAACTGCACTTGGCTGCTCTCATCCCTGTTTTGCTTATGCTGGCGCTAAAGCGACTTGTATGAACAAGTGTGGGATGTGGCAGCTTCCCAGTTCCCACAGTGGCTGCTCGGGAGCATGGCTGGTGCTATGCTGGTGCTATGGTTCTTTTCAAAGCCATGGTAATATCAGCAGGAAACGTGGCTTCTGCCACAGCTCCTGGATTCTCCTTCTGAGAAACGGGGCTGATTTTACATGCTACCTTGAAAAGGTGTATGGAAATGACAGGCTCTCTAATTACTTCTGACACTCCACTGATTTCCATCAACCACTTCACCTATATGAGTCACTGTTGCTACAGCAAGATGTTCAGTAACAGCAGATGAATCCTCTTTAATTTCTCAAAGAAAAGCAAGTGCCAATGTAAATGCCTTCACCACAAATATCTGCCACTGTTTAGACAGCACATCTCGCTCAGTTATGTACTTGGAGAAGGACACACCTTCTGCCTGTAGTACCTCAGTGCAGGCACACAGCACCACTATACTTGAATCCTTCCCTTTAATGAAGCCATCTTTAAAAGCACATCCACTGGCAAGGGAAAAGACTTTGTCAATTCATTTATTAAACTGGGGCTTCAACTGTTCTGCAAAATGTAGGAAAGGCAAGGAAGGTAAGAGAACAGGAGGACATTTTCAAGAATGCTGCATGGCAGCCACTGCATTAAGAGAGCTCAGCTCTCTCGCTTGCCTCAAAGTAAGCAGCAGTCTTTGTGTCAGCACTGAGGAAGTTTAACACAAGCCTATGACCTACCTTGCCACAGAAGATTTACAAACCTACCCACAGATTTTTTCTTGTTATATTTGAACTGCTACACTTACATGAGGAATGCTCTGATACGGACACTTAAGGAGCAGGAGTGGGTTGTTTTCCACATAACTTAAACTGTTTTCAAAGTGGCATAAGTTAGCAGTTTAAAAAAAAAAAAAAAGTCTCCTTGTATAAGAATAAAACATCTATACAAGGCATTACAGCTACAGCAGCTTAAATCCACCCCCTACTATATACAGACGTTCTTCTCCCACACAGGCTGGCCTCTAGTACTAATTATTTCAACAATTCAGAACAGTTACTGTACTGTGCTTCTTTCACAGGGTGTTCCACCTGCCACTTGCAAGTCTGTGCAGCACACGTTTCTGGCCCAAGCCCCTGAGCAGTGCAGCCTGGCCACTGGCAGAGACTCGCAGCCCTTACCTTGGTTACAGTCACAGTTGGACCAGCCGATGGCCCCCGACGAGAGCCGGTAGAAGCACCAGGGTGTCGTTCCCCCATCCGGGTTCCTGCAGTGGTTGTGGTCCCCCAGGCCACGGTCTGGGTACTGCTGGACATAATCGGGGAACTCTGCCCAGTTGAGGCACTCTGCCCCGGCCTCAGTGACTGCCAGCGAGCCATTGTAATACCCCAGGGGTCCAACAGCACAGCCGCTGGATGCTGCACACGGGAAGGGAGCTGTTAGCATCACTCAAGGCACCACACACTGAAGCTCGATGTGGGGGGTAACAGCTGGTTATCTGAAACACCTCCCGGGTCTGCAGTTCATTGCTGCTTGCTTGATTTCAGTCCTATCACTCTTCAAGGCAACCGCTCAAAGAATGTTTATAATACTCACTGTATAAACCCCCATTTGATCTGAAGTAAAGAACTGCTCAGACAGACCTTTTGGAAAGTGTTTAATCTGGGCCCAAACGTGGACAATTTGAACTGGTTTCCATTACTGTACATCAATACATGTACTCACTTTGGAGCACCACTTGAGCGTGGCACACTCCACCACTTCCTTCCCCACTTGCTTTGACACCTGAATAAGATATTCCCAAATTTGATCCTAGGCTCTCTAGAACATTAATTGCCTGTCCAAATTGAGTGAAACTGAGATGAGTTTAAAATTAGCTATGATTTCATTCTATAAAGCAGGACGGTGGGAAATGTCACTGTACTTCATTTTACATATGTTCTCTATACACATCAGTATCACAAACTGGCTTATCTGAACTTTGTCAATGTACAGGAAGGGAAAGGGAACTTGTTCTGGGGGAAAGTGTGGGTGCCAATGTTCCAGTGGTCATGTGAAATATCTAATGTAAAAATACCAAATAATTAATTTAATATGCTCTTTAACAAAAGAAGAAATCTGTCCATTCCTGACCCTGAAATTAAAAGGACAACAGACCCAGGTTCTGTGTGGGGGTGGACTTTTTACAGCCCATAAAAAGGGAAGAGTAGACTGAGAAAGGAACAACAGTTACAGCTCTATTCACTGAATAAACAAAAAGAAGATAACACTTTCAGAAAACCCTTCTGCAGACAAGAACACATGGGGCAAAGAGCAAGGGGAGAAGGAAAGTTTGCATCGTGTCATTTGCCTTCTAGCCACTGCCAAGCACAATAAGAAGAGGTGGGAAGTGACAGCTGAAGGTTAAATGCAAGGTACAAAATGAGAAGCAGTTGCAGGTAGGTGTCTGGAAAACACACCATATGCTTTGCATCAACTGGGACCCTCAGAGGGGGGGGATATATGAGAATTCAGTAGTTAATAGAGCAGAGGAAAGGTGAATATGCAAAAAAGACTGAGGCCTTCAGAGAAACAGATGAAAAGAAAAGAACATGTGGGAGGTGCAGTGAACTGCAAGAGCACTAGACGTGAAGACACAAAAGTGGTCTGGCCATGTTGGTGAAAGAGAGAAACAGACATTGAGGCAACAGAAAACACTGAAGAAATGATGGAAAAAAAGGAAGAAGGTCAAGTAGCAGTGGTTCATGATGTCTGTGGTCTCAGATCACCACTGCAGGAAAGAATCTGCCCAATGACTGAATTAATACCTTCTTGTTCTTACCTGCACTCTGCAAATGGTTTTGGTTGGGCTGGGATCCCAGGAAAGCCTGGGAAAAGAAGCAGAGCAAAAGCAGAGATGATTATCCGATGAAATAAACATAAGCATGTCCTAAAAGCAGCTGAGCTTTTGCAGCTTTAGGCAAACACACCCTAGTAACCAGTCTCTTCCTTGCTTTCCCCATTGCTGCTCTTCAAATCTAATCATAGCTCTGTCCATTAACAGCAAAAGAAATAATTACAGGCCTGCAGAGATTTACCCTAGCACTACATTACAGAGCTCTGCTTGTTTTTTTTTCCATTAGACTTGGAAGTCTGAGATGCCTGTGGAAAGGAAAGCTAGAAGAAAATCATTATTATCAGTAAGAAAAATACTGAATAGACACTCATTCTCTCTCCATTAACAGGACAAATCATCTATGGCCACAGTAGCAGAAATATATCTATGTGATAGGAAGATGCCCCCAGGACACCTGTTAAAATGGTAATAAACATCTATGTACAAAGTTGGAAACATCTAAAGAAGAAAATCCAACAAGGCTTTTTGAGGATTTTCTTTTTAATACTTGAAAATATGATATGGCTTATGGTATTATCCAAACGGTGTTAAATACCTAAAAACAAATAGTATGAAACAAAGTCCTCAAAATTCTAGCATCCTGTCTTGACCCAAAACTGCATTTCCTCTTATAGGTAGTGTTTTTGTGGTTATAACTTCACTTTTGGCTAAGAGATAGGGATCTCCACTCAACACCACTACAAGGTGTGCAAGCAAATGCAAGATTTTTACAGACACAGAGCGAAAAGAAGAAACTGTACATTTCTGCTAGCTCCTTGTAGTTTAATTAGTTTCTAAATATTTTTAATGAACATTTCTAATACTTTTAGATGAACAAAACCTTGTAATTCACAGAGCAGAGGTATGCAGCTAAAGAATACTAACTATTGGTAACAGTTGTGGTTTTCTTCAAAATGCAGTAATTTTGCCTCTCTTAAATTTGGAATGAAACCAAATCCACTTCTGGAATAAGCAGAAGTAATTCCCACAGAAGCCTGACATGAACAACACCTACTCATGTCAGGCGACATTTTCAAATCAAACTTAGGAACATCGTCCAGCAGGTGCTGACAACCATGGCCAAGCATCACCCTCCAGAAGTCAGAATGCGATATTGCGTATGGAAGATGAATTCCTGACGTGGCTCAGAAACAGCAGATCAGGTCTCAGGTGCATGTGCACGAGGGGATGCACAGATAAACCAGCACTTAACTGAAAAACCCTTTTCAGCCAAACGTCCATCTACCTGCATGCATCAGGTTGCTGCAAGCCCACATAATGGTTTATGAACCAACAATGCTGAAGGACTTATCTGAGGATCTCAAAGCTCTTTGCAGAGAGGGGAAAGTGAGCTAAGCTGCACTTTTGTGACTGCACCAAACAGGTGGCTGAGCCACAAACCAAGTCCCTTAGCTCCTAGTTTTCAATGTAAACGTGCACACACATGTAAACCTGCAGGTGATAGAGGGATGGGTCAGACTAATAACAGGATATATATGAGTCTGAACCCACTCTTCTTGGAGCCTCTACCATAAACAAAAGTACTGCAGTCCAAGTAATACACTGCTCTTCCAATGAAATATTAGTTGCTGCCAGCCCCTGTAGCAGCTTCCAAAATATCCCAACTCTGACCATCACTACTAACAAAATTAAGTGCAAACAGCCTGTGCTGCAGGCATTGCCCCAGGTCCGTGTGGCTATAAATCATCTGTCCACAACAGCAAGAGGGGCAAACAGCAAAGAACAGAAACAAAGGATCTCTCCTGCCAGGGTCACTGCAGAGCCTGAGAAACATAGGAAACCCAAGCCAGAGCATCTGCAAAGCCCTTGTGCATCCTGCTTTCTTGCTTGCTTTCTTTCTCTGAATTTCATATGCTCAATGAAACAAATCCCTCCCCAAACCTCCAGCCCTTCCCAGAGACCACAGCTGCCTAGAAAACATATTCAAGTAAAACAAGATCCACTTACAGTGAGGATATTAAAAGAGACATGTGACTTCTTACAAGCAGATAGAAAAGTAACCATTTCGTACCTCCACACATCTGAGACAGGACAGCAGACTCGAGAGCTCTACAAGGAGCCCGAGTATTCTGGAGATCTCCATCCCTCCTATACAAAGCGGGCAGAAGGTTCCTCAAGCATCACATTCTCGTTCAGCTGGCGGGCTCTGCTTTCCCACGCTAGCTGCTCCGCACCCGGGTGAGCAGGATGCCTTTTCCATTTCTACGTAGGGAAAGGGATGTAAGGGAAGGGATCAAAGTCCCCAGCAGCATCTTCGAATTTCACTTTCCCCTTCCTTTCCTCATCTCTTCTCCTCGAGTCCTCTCTTCAGGAAAGGGGGGAAAGACGGGAGGGAAACAAGGGAGAACAGCATGTCCCAGAATTTACCTAGCGCATCTGCAAGCGGGAGGAGGGAGCGCAGGCGGCGGGGCGCACCCTCAGCCCGCTCCGCTCCCCGCTGTCCCCTCCTCTGCCCAGCCTCCCCCGTGCTCCAGGTACGCGCTTCTCCCAGCGCCAGCCTCCGCCTCCCCAGCGCCCGGGCCGCCGCCCGCTCCTCTCCCGCAACCCCTCCTTCCCGCAGCTGCCTCTTCCTCCTCTCCCAGCGGCACAGAGGCTGCAGCACGGACGGAGCTGGGGCTGTGTCCTACTGCAAAGCCCCCGGCAACAACGGGGAAGGAAACGGCGTGTGCGCGCACACTTGCCAGAGATTAGACTTCTCGGAAGGAATCTGGACTTTATCCCCCCACCGCTGCCTCCTCGATTACCTGCTCGCAGCTTCCCGAGGTCAGCTCTCCTCATATATGAGCCCAGGTAAATGGGACCCAAAAAACTTTACGTTAAGCAGCTTCCAGATCTTCCCATGGAAAACCCACAGGTGGCACACCCTCTCGGCAGTGCATTCGCAATTTTCAGCCTACATCTTGCCCCATGGGTATTGCCTCCAGAGATCTTTTCCATCAAGCTTCTCCGTGACCTTGGGCTTTATTTTCCCTCAATTGGCTAGGATGCTTTCCAGAGGGTTGATCATTATTTTATTACCACGAAAAATCCCTTTGGGGGGGGGGGTGTAGTGTTTTCAGCTTACTGCTCCTTCATATGCATTCGGGTTTGAGGCTACAACAAGTTTTTAACACTATTAAATCTAAGAAGGGAATTGGTCCATTTGAAGCTGTTCAATATCAGATTTTTTTTAAACATTCCCTGTGCTGCTTCTCAGCTCAGTCCTATACTTACATTCTGATTTTGGAAGGATTAACTCCTGGTATTCTGCAGCATGAAACATGAAGGTCACCTTAAGAAATGAGCTCACTTTTGGCCAAGTCTGCTAAGTAGCACTTCCAAAGACACCTTCAGCATAAAAACAAGGAATGGGCTGCTAAAAATCCATTGGCTTGACAAAAAGCCTCTTTTTTTGCTCCTTCACTTACTGCCCATTACTCATTCACTTGACAGTTTTGTGTTGCCTCATCCTCAGTCAGTCATCAAAGGCAAGGAAATTTCACTACATGCTGGATCTTTTACAGGAGTTGCTGAGTGGTAGGAAGGAGCTCTTTCTGGAGTGCATTTGGCCAAGAATTGCACTCAGTTAATTAGGAGCAAATCTCCTATATCCTTGAAGGGAGGGAGGGAGACGATCAGGGCAACAGAGGATGGAAATAGCTTAGATGCAACATCACGCTGTAACTCTCAGGCAGCACTGGTAAAAAGGCACAAAATAAAAATACAGGAATGTGTTGGTATTTAGAAGCACTTACTCCAGTGAAAACACAAGGAAATAATATACTGGAGACACAAACAGAAAATCTACTAGCATTCAGAGAAATTTGTTCCTTAGTCAGGAATAGAAGTTACTGATGGTCCTTCAGAACTCCCTCCCATAAGACACTCCCTGTTTAGACCTCTGACACATAAGCTCAAAACCTTTAGCAAAAGCCTGCACTGGATTTCTCTCACAGTAGCTTTTAAGTTGCTTCCCTCTCAAGGCAAGGTTTTCCTAGATAATGTAATTTTTGAAGGAAACAGACCAGTGCAAGAAAAGCAATGGAAGTCCAAGTCTGTATTCACTTTTTAGAAGAATGACGAACTGTGGACAGATATAGGGGGTTTGCAGTTGTCTCCTCTGCGGGAACTACTCCCTTCTTGCCAAGACTCCCCTGGTTTTCTGGTACATGTAATGACATTTTCTTGAGAGAGGTGGATCTTAGGATTCTCAAAAGCTTCTCATGGCTACATGGCCCTCTCCGAGTTAGACAAAGAAAAAAATTATACCAATATAACTATGTCAGCTTAGATCAGTAATGTATCTACTGATGAGGTAAAATAGATACTGAACTTTCTTGTATGGGCAAATTTGAAGTAGCCCACTGTTATATAGTAACTAATATCTAAGCCCACTATTTAACACTAATCACCTTCTCACCCTGATATAACCACAGTTCTATTCTAATAAGCCTATGATTTTCTACAGAGTCTTTCTGTTTTGATTTTTCCAGATTATTCTGTATTGACATTTTGGAACAAGAAGTACCATCTTCTAAAATATTTCTGGATCCCTGGAATTCAACCCACTTCTCCAGAACTGGCAGGACCACTATTCATCAAGAGCAGCTGAAATATTAATGCTTCCTCCATAGAGATCTTCGGTGAAAGCCTAAAAAGAGGGGTAGTTAACAGCAATCATACCCAGGGCTAATATAATACTCAAGCTGTAAGGAACAGGAATAAGATCAAGGAATTCCAGCAGATTTGCTTAAATCCTGTAAATCCGACTTAGGAGGGTAGAACAGCTAGTCAGCTTTTGTTTAATTCTTTCCCCACCACGCAATCACATACAGGTCTCTGCAGCAATGTTCTTAACCAGTGGGCTCAGTACCAGAACCCAGTTTTATCCCCCAGCAACAGCATCGTGGAGCTCAGAAAGAACAGTGCCATTCCCTATAGTTACACACTAACTATTAGTGGAGTGATCCCTGATATCAGCATGTCACAGAATGCATTTAAACTCCCACTATAAGTTTAACATTAAGATACAAAAAATTGGCAGCAGGTGAAATTGCCAAGGACAATCAGTAACTGGAGGGGTTTTAGTTACAGCATGGGATCCTGAGGCAAAAGAATTGCTACAGTATTTTTAAAGGAAGCACTGTAAAACCTGGGCGCACCTGAACATCATTCTGTTTCCTTCTTTCTTCCTCTAAATAAATGAGGACTGGAAAACCTTAGCATAGTAATGTCCAGATTATAATAGACATGTAAAAGGTCAGACAGAAACCCAAACCTTTCACTGAATTTGTGAAGCTCACTGTGAAGCAGTATGATCCAAAAATAGCTGTTCAGATTAGTGAGAGGTGTGCAAAATTTCAGAAGTAAAACCAGAAAAAGGTATTGGCTTCTCTGTTACAGCCTCTTATATAAGACAGTTCTTCACAGACAGTAGAATTTGGTACATTCAGCACAAGTGCTATCTTAAGAGGAGCAAAACTACTTTTGTATTCAAAGTTTTAATATAAAGAAAGAAAAATCATCATCAACAGAGGTGAATCAGTTCCTCACTCCCAATCTAGCTTGTCTCCTTCACAAACAAAGGAACAGCAAGTAGCATTTCCTTTCAGAGTCTTTTGGACTGAAAATGCAGAATGTCATAGAACCAAAGCATTTTCCCAAACTTAGATGTGGACATTATGTTCTTACTGACCCCAGGTTCTCTGAAAGACCCAATTATGCCATTAATACCAACAACAGAACAAGCTACCCTGTGAATAATCCACTCATGAGGCATTGTAAGTTATGGTTAAATGAAAATTTCCTCAACGACTTGAAAGCATTCACCTGACCAAAATTTATGGGATAAAACAGGTATCCACCTGGGGCTCCAGAGAAGTCAGCTCCAATTCCAGCAAACTCTCCAGTCACCTGTGGGTAATCACATAGTCTGTGTGCCTGACTCCCTTCTTCCTCTGCTTTTTCTACATGCCTGAAAGAATTACTGATATAAATGGTTATAACAGTAGTTTTCCAAGACACTGCATTTTTCTCAGCATAGGTACTGGTCCTGAAGTTTTGTGGTACTATAGTAGAAAAAAAAAAAAACCACACTGAAACTAATAATTCATTACATGATTTCAGTTACCAGTTCACGCTTGAACTTTCTCTCCCTCTTTTGTTTGTTTTTTTACCAAAAAACAGTGAAACATTCTGTTGTGGATTGTGAGTTGCCCAAGTCAAACACCAGTCTTGTATTATTTTACTGTAGTCCAGACAAAATAAGTAAACTGATGTGGCACCGTACCTGTGCCACCTGCAAATCAGAGGTCCTAAATCATAAGCCTCTACATTAAGGTTATATCTGATACTTACCTCTGTATTAACAAGGTACTTTGCTGGAGATTTTTTGCACATTCTACAGCTTTTTTGTACAGCAGCAGGAATTAAAACAATTTCAAGAGAAACCAAACTGTATATCCACTCCTGTGGGAGTATGAGCCATGAGATTACTAGCAATTTTCAGTTGGCTTAGTGTTTGAACCTGAGCACTTCTTGACAGCAGCTCCAAAGCTAGGTAGGAAGCTTACATGTCAGGAAAAGTCACCTCCTAACTGTTAGGAAATGCATTTCTAAAAGATTTAACAGTGAGGACCCGAGTAGGCTAGTTCTGGCTAGCTGAACAACACACTGCAGAAATCCTAACACTGCAAGACCCAGGAATCTCATGAACAAAATCAGCTGATACTCAAGATCAGTGTTTGTTGCTCTAGAATCAAAAGAAGGGTCAAGAGCGACAGAGCAGTGCTTGACAGATACCATTTGACATCAAACACTCACTCAAGCTGCCTTTTCTCTTTTTTGCCAGACTCCAACTTTAATTGCTTGTCCACAGTCCCTTTAGTACAGCACATTATGTATAATGTCTGATCTGAGGAAACCTCCTCAGGAGCTTGTTCACTTTGCTTGAAGGTAAGTTTTCCCTGGATGACAGGGTGTCCTCGTTTTGACTCCTGCGTTGCTTCTGAAAGACAAAAAAACCCCAAACTCTTAGCTTATATAGTTATTAATATATTATATATATAGTTATTACTTATATAATACTATTATATACTTATAATAGTATTATTATATTAATATATTATATAATTATAAACATCTAATTTCCAAACAACGTGAAAGTAATTTTTCAACGTGTCTAGCCTTCAAAGTCAGAAACAGCCTGAAAGAGCTCCTAATTTTCAGAGAATCGAGAATTGCTCTAACAACCTCACATATCCTGAAAATTGTTTGTTATGAGGATTACTGAAAACATTGGTTATTTCTCTACCAATTTGTCTCCATCCTCACTCCTGCAAGCACAAAACTATTTACAGACTTATGACACTGGAATTTGGGAATCCTAACTCACCACTTTCCCCCACTGTCTAGATAACGCTGGTACTGGATCAGCTGTTTCTTAACTGTATGAATCAGCAGCTGCAGAAACTTGCCTGTACTGCACATCTCCCCAGTTACAATATAATCCACATGTGGCATGCAACCTCAGCTCCCTCAGCGGCTTCTCACAGGACTTGTGCTCCAGACCCTTCACCAGTTTCACTGCTCAAATGAGTTACAGCACCAATGAAATTGTTCAGAGAACGTTATTACTGCTGGCACACAAAAAATGACTGGGGGCTTCCTCCTTCCCTACTACTTCAGGAACACAAAAGAGGCTTTAATTACTTCTGCCTTTGCCACACAGTCATAGAACACCCGGATCTCCTCGGCACAAGCGGCGTCGTTGAAGTCATTCTGTTTCCAGCAGGCCATCATTACTGACATCTCCGTAATGCACGTCGCCTCTAGAAGGGAAAGACACAACCAAAAGTCTCAGGTCTTTGGGGTTTTATTCTAACAACCTTCACAGCGCATGAATCTCGAGAGAGAAGTTTAAGATGGGGTCGAGGCAGGTGAGAAAATGCAGCACTAAAGATCTCTGCTTTGGGCAGAGTTGCCACCAGCACGAAGATCAGCCCCGCTGCAGCCATCCTGCATCCGACTGAATTCTTAAGGTACAGGCTATGCTGAGACGCAACAAAGTGTTTTATGTGCGTGACTCACAGACGGAGTAGCACAAGAAGCGGACTTTGGGTTGCAGCGTGAGGAAACCATCCTTTCCACCGAGCCCGTGCGCTCATCCCAGGGCCCAAAGCAGCCTCTCCCCTCGCGAGCCCCGCAGAGCACAGGGAGCCAGCAGCACGGCCTTCCCCGCCACCGCTCCCCGGGAACTCACCTCCCGCCTGCTCCCTGCGGTTCGCCACCTTATCGGCGAGCGCCAGCGGGCGGACCGGGCGGATCACCGGGGGCCGCTTCTTGTGGCGCCACTGCCCGCTGACCCAGCGGGTGACCCAGCCGGGGTACGCGGGGCCCGCCATGTCCCGCCCGGCCCGCCGCGCCTGCGCGGCCGCCCCTTCCCCCCCACGGGAAACCCGCCCCTTCCCGGGAAACCCTCCACTCCACACCCCCATCCGGTCAGCCTGGAAAAGGGCGTGCCACGAAAATTAAGTGACTTCCCCACGGTTTCCGCGTTAGGCGGAACGACTCAGTAACAGCTGCAGCAGTCCGCACCCCAAAACTTTTTTCTGTGGCAAACCTAACCAAGGAAGGAGCAAAAACACACTGCTCTTCAACCAGAGCAGAAGAAATCATGATTTTTTCAAATAATTCAAATGGAACTTAAGGAATCACAGAATGGGGTTGAAAAGGACCACAGTAGGTCGTCCGATCCAGCCTCCCTGCTCAAGCAGGGCTGTCCTAGGACACGGCTCAGGACTGAATACAGATGGTTCAGGGAGACTCCACAACCTCTATGAACAACCTGTTCCAGTGCAAGGTCACCCGCCCAGCAAAGTTCTTCCTCATATTCAGGATGCAACAACTCCTGTGCATCAGTTTCTACCCATTACCTCTTGTCCTATTGCTTGGCACCGCCAAGAAGAGCCTGGCTCCATCCTCTTGGCACCCCTCCCCCTTAGATACTTACAAACTCTGACGAAGCCTCCTCTCAGTCATCTTTTCTCAAATTCTTTTGCAACTGTATGGAAACTTTTCTTGGTGCTTCAAACTTGCATCACTTAACTCTCAGCCTGTCTCCATTACATTACAGCTGGATATGTATTGCTCCTGCTGTTCCTTCCAAGAAGATAATGCAATTGCTACTTCCGAAATGGTGGCATCGTTCCCGCAGCCTCATAGTCAGTGGTGGAAAATTCCTGTTCCAAAAAGTTTCTTCCCTAGGGTAGTTTTTGGAAGCCCTCAACTCATCTGCTAGGTTCTGGAGCGCTTATGTCCCCAGCTGAAAAAGGCAGGCAATACAGAAGGCACAGGAACATTTCAAGGGCTGGGATACAAACAGGTCTCAGCATGGCAGAAGGGACAAGGTAGACGCAGAAAACTGAGGAGTTAGACATCAAACACTGGAGACATAAAGTAATCAGATCCTTGTCATAAAGTAGTTCCTGAATAAGCCATTTTACCACGGTATCAGGGCTCTTCAGGCACCAACAATCTCCCTTTTGCACTGGAGGACATATGAAGGATCAGTTTCCTTCCACAGCTTTGAGTTCTCTGACCATATACAGCATATACAGAAGGCCAAACCAAAGATGCTGGAATTTTTTTTTTTTTTTTTGCGCACAGGACATTGATTTGGATTAAAACATATTCAACCTCCTAGCTATAGACATAAAAACCACTACCCTTGCCTCTGCCTATTCAAGGAAGTTAACAAGACATTAGAAATTCTGTTAACTTGAGCTAATATCACCAGACCAATATCAGAATATTCTCAATATGGTTACTAGAATTTACTGCATCTGCAGACAATATATCCTGGTATGTCCAATTATATAATTATTTTTGTGTTATTTGTAAAACAGTATATTCTTAACATCCAATATAAAGAGTATGAGAAGACATTTTCGTGTAAAAAAAAGATTTCTTTTGACCCTCTTTAAAAGTAAATTTCCATCTAAGGTCCAAATTCAAACACTTTATCTGGAAGTTCTGAAACATTTTGGTAAGCAGGGTGTTTTTCTAGTTCCACTTTTTCTGAAAAGACAGGAAATAAGCTATTCTTCGAGCTGGACTACCAGTAGAGAAGAAGCAAAACAAGCTGACACCTTCAAGTTAGGCTAGAGGCTTGCATCCTGCAACTCTGAACACTGGAGATCTTGCAAATCCAAGAGAGGAACATGAAGTACATTTCAGTATTCCAGTTCATGTGAGGTTCAGCTACTCTTCTTTTTGCCTCTTCTAGTTACCCTTACTGATATCCACTTCTCCCTGCTGCATTTGCCTCCTGCAATTCCTAACTAGACATGCACGAGAACAGTAACAAGGAAAGACACAAATACTAGGACGTAAGAGAAGCTGAACTGCGCTCCCTGTAAATCAGCCTTTCTCCAAATTACATTAGCTAATGGTGGCAGCACCTTCAGGGTCATTCACCTTCAAAAGCTGATCTCTCACTGAAGTAATTCCAAGAAAAATGAGGCGGGGGAGGAGGGGAGGTTAAGAAATAGAAAGGCAAGCTACACAAGGAGAATTGTAATAGCTTCCTGTAAGTTACTGCTGTCTGCATTAGAATTTCCTTTTTTTTGGCATTCAGTCTGGGATCAAAGCCTAAGAAACTCCCAAGCAGGCAGAATAAGGTACGTGATGGTGTCTACACACAACATGCAGAGATGTCTGAAGCAAGACACATTATTATTATTAAACTTGATTTTTTAATATTGAATATTTATGTTAAGGGAGAATGTGGAACTACAGAAGGGGTGTGTTACTCAATAGCCAAGTCTCTCTCTAGCCTGTATTTTGTTTAGCTGATAGCACTGAGACACTAATGGAAAGGACAGAAGTGCTGACCTTAAGAGGGACAGTCAGAAAACAAATTCTCTCATCAGTGAACCCCACAGATTTTTCACTGTGAATCCTGAATGTACAACTATAAAACCATGTGAAAGTCTAACTGCATGTACAACGTACTATCTTAGATCAGCATAGTTAAAGGTGAATCCTTGCCTGCATTTCAGCTAGTCAAAATCAATACCACAACTGAGTAAGAGCCAGGTACGATGCTACAGCAAATGCTATGCCACAATTAAATACAATGCTAACAATGCTGTAATAAAATACACCCTTAAAATGAGACTGTTGTCTTAAATACCTTTAGGAGGTGAGAAATTACACCATGTATCTATCCTTCATTTTCTGGTTTAGCTATGTAAAGCCTCCAGACACTGCCTAAAAACAATTAGGAGATGAGGCTAACCAATCAGTTGTATTGGGAAAAAATAATAGAGCTGATTTCCATGTCTTTTTGAACTGCCTGGATCCAGCTTCCAGGTAAATTCTAGTACGTTCACACAAATTTGCCCTGAATGCACCAGTTCTTCTCATATCACTTCATAATGCCCTCACTTCAATTTATTCTCAACTGTCTCACCCTAACCTTCTTAACCCAATTTAATTGGAAATGCCTTGAAATTTAAAGCTCCTCCACTTTAGTAGTGAAACAAACCAGTTTGGTGAGATTTCAGGTGGTTTAGACTTAACTTCTGTCTGCTGAGTTATCATGTTTGAACAATATTAGCACTTAATGTTCTTATTAGCACAAATGCATTCACTAGCACCATGACAGATGCAATTTCTTTTCTGATACGTCATGCCCCGCCCCAACTCCAACACTGGCCTACCTTATCCCAAGCTCTCAGTCAGATCAGCTGCAGCTGCCCTGCATTGTCCTGACTACCTCTGTAGTTCTGAGCTGCCATCACTAATCCCTAACTCTCAAGATCTAGGAAATCCAGCCATTTCCACAGCAAATTACCTGATGCCTCCTTATTTGCTCAGAGATGCCACGAAGCATCATGATCTGCTCTGATCCATTTCAAGATCCCCAGAAACATCTGTAGTTGAGACACTTGTGCATTAAATGGGTATTTTCTGCAGGACAAAATGTATATAACAGCATACAAATTAATATGCCAGTGGTGTCAGAGCTCTGGAACAAATCCTGCAGCTCCATTCTTCTCCATCCTTCCTAATCCCTCTGCAGGGCCATATATCTCTCACTGCCAGCTCTGAGACAATGAATCATTAAGAAAAGCACAGTTTGTTAAAGCCTGACACAGGCTTTGGCTCAGCTGGTCATATCACTAAAAGGATGTTGTCTCTGATTAATATCAACCTGTCAGTAGAGGTCTCTGGGCAGAATGAAGGAACCTGCCACCCTGTATGTTTCCAATTCATACAACTTCTCAGAAGGTGCCTGGAGATCCATCAATAATCTTAATTAAATATAACAAAAGGGATGAAAACTCATGATTAAGGGAGTGGCTCTCTTGGGACAATGGCTGAAGAGTGTGCATGGCAGGTCAGGAAGAGAGGCAGATGGCTGCTTGTCTAACACAGTAAAGCTTGTTTAAACACTGATGTCCCTGATGGCTGAGTTTCAATTCAATTTATCCTGTTCCCCATCCTTTAGGAGTTACTTGCTCTTCCACACCAGTTAAAACTATCCTCTGCCAAGGTGCAAGAGGGGCATTTCTGCTGTGATTCTCCAGCTGCTGCATTTTGCAGATCATTTCCAGAGAAAGCCGTTCATTCTCCTTTCCCTCTAAACATATGCATCCACTGTTGTTTGTTCTCATTCTACTTACCATCACAGGGGACCCAGAGATCTTTCAGTTCAAAAATTACTACAGTGACAGAAATAAGAAAACGCAATTCTTTATGAGTTCTGGAAATCATCAATATTAGGAATCAAATCACTGTACTTCAGTGAGGTTATATGCTTCCTACACATTGAAGTCTTTGCTAAAGGACAGAAAACACAGACTACTACTTCTGTATAAAAAGTACCCAGCTTCTTACTGAAAAAACAGGCAGCACTAGGTATCACAGTTTTGGCAGGAGAATGAGAGCTGTAGCTTGTCCAATGCAATGCACTGGACTGCTAGATTTTTAACCTTCTGTCAGACATTTATTTCTCCTCTCTCACCTCTCAGAGGCCACAAACTTATCCTAGCTTGTCAAGTCAATTCTGAGACACAGCATCAACAGAATGTACTAGTGTTTCATGTGAGCAGTAATAAGGAGATATCTATTTTTAGAACATTAATGCTAGTGAATAAAGCTATCCTGACAGCTTTGAAAGCCTCCCTGTAGTCACACAGTAAACAGGCAAAATGCACGACAAGCAGTGAAGCCACTCTCCCTAGTTTGCAGAAGCCTACCAAAGGGTTTACAGGAGCAATCTCTTAATCATCCTCAATATTTAGTATCTTCGCTAAAATTCCTGATTAGTCTCAATCGTGTGTTTTTATGAATATAGGTACCTCCACTGCAAGAATATGATTAATATAGATGTCAAATACATCTATCACATCTATCACGTCTGAGTATCATGT